GGGGGGGGGAGGGGGAGCAGAGGCGGCGGCGGAGACTATAGTTCTCCCCTCCCCAACATTGTTTGAATGTCTACTGGGTTGAAAATATAATGCCATTGAGAGTCGAGCCAAGGATTTCTATGACGTCTTGAACTAGTACGCATGCTCACAAGTTGTTTCTCTGAAAGTGCGATAATATCTGTCCAGTGATGATAAAATATGCATAAACATCTAGGCCTCAAACCATATTAACTGAGATTTGTCCAGACAGTACGTAGCTAATAAGAGAAAAACCTCTTTTAAGTTTGATAAATATTTCCGTTGAAAATCCAATCAAAAATTGACTGATTGGGAAAATAATTAATTAGTTCGTGGCTTAAAATAAGAAAATAAGCTGGTAAAGTCAATACAGGACCAAATGGAGTGGTGCGTACTTAGGCTTCATTAAAAGGAAAAGTTAGGATGAAGAAGGAGAAAAATGCAGAACTTGGGCTACCTGTGTGTCAAGCAACTAGTCACGTGACCTTTCCCCCTTTAGTTGCCCTCCATATCATAAAAGAAGGCGACGTTTCAGCTGGAATATGTAGAACAAAGAATATATATCAAATCAAATATTTTTTCTTGGATTTGTATAGAAAAGTGTGTATAAAAATGTCGCGTGAAGTTTTCGCAACCAGACTATGCCACCGAGAGCGGTGAGCCTATACATAAAGGCTCTTTTTGTCGGTTTCTTTTATCACTAAAGTTGAACGTATAAAAAGCGTAAAATTAAAAATAACTTCTCGAAAAATGTTGCAACTGGGGCTCGAACCCAGGACCTTGCGCGTGTTAGGAGCACGTGATAACCACTACACTATGGAAACCTTGACATCCTATTTTATTACTATAATCAGAAGACGAGGGGGCAAGCCTTCGAAATAATGAGTGATAAAGATTGCTGAAAATCAGCTGTTGCAAGCTGCATATCATATTCATATGTAAATAGTATGCAAAATGCAACAGTAGAATATGGAAAAACAAATCAGAGTTGAAGAGTCTGGGAACGAAGCCCAAGCTGAGAGACCACACCCAAGATGGCGGCCATCAATAGGCTGCTTGTCTTCTCCGTACTTTTCTTCTATTTTTTTAGTTATGTACTGTCCCAGCCTCTCAAAGACGAGGACGAGATTATACACAACGTGAGGCTTGAACGGGAACGCGATATTAGAAGACGTAGCGCTGTTCATCCATTTCGCATCAACCTTGTTTACCTCGATGTCAGCAATATCGCTAATATGGATATTATAAAGCAATTATTAAGCGAGTCAATCCTATACTTCCAAGACACGTTACGAGTCAAACATCCTGTGAAAAATATTCTCCTACAACGTAGATGTGCCAATGATTCGTATTTTTTAAAGGACGAGCAGGGAATTTCGCRGGGAAAGGTTCGTTATTGTAAAATTGCTTGTGAGAATGCGAAGCCTTCGTGCGGCCCAGCACGTGTGCCTGACAAAGACTTGGACGTGTGCCGTTTGTGTGATGAAGATGGGAAGAACTGTAAGGAAGAAGACGGCAAGACCAGTGGTGTTGGGTATAATAATACTGACTTTGTGATGTATATAACCGCATCGATCGACAAGTGTGACAAGCCAAAGACAGTAGCCTATGCAGCTGTTTGCCAACAAGAGATGACTGTGGATAGACCAGTAGCGGGCTTTCTGAATATCTGTCCAAATAAAGTGAAAAATATGACTCAACAGAGCTTGCATAATGAGTTGTTGGCCACTTTTAAACACGAAATATTTCATGCATTGGGCTTTTCTCCTTCACTTTATGCCTTTTACCGCGATATTAGCGGAGCTCCTCTCACCGATCGCCTTCCAAATGGAATGCCGGAGTACAGCGAAGTGTCAAAATCATACATAGCTAGTGAAAAGGTACTTGGCCTTTGTGTGTGTAGTTTGTCTGGGTAATTTAACGCCTTCAAATGGTTCAGTGATTTAGATATGCTATATTTTGATTATTTTGATGATATTGAAGGCTATTGGATGGCTTAGTCTGTTTCTGTTGGGGGTAGAGAGGGGAGGGGGTGTAGTTGTTATTGGGTGGAGAAATCATAGGTGTGGGTTTTTTTTGAGGGGGAGGGGGGCTGTCAGAGTGGAGTAAAATTAAGATAGGATTGATGAACGTTTGTGGTCATTTAATGTTACTAACTGATCCAGAAGTCTTTTCAGTTTTCTTGGGGTTGTAACTACATGACTAAAAAATTATTGAGGTATAAACAAAAATGAAAGAAACAGCCACCATGTTGGTTGATCTACACCTTCGTATTTTGAATGAGCTCTACGCTCTTGAACAACAATTGATTAAATAAATTATAAATATATATATAAATATAAAAATCTAACAGAGAAGCTAATGAAGGGGTATCGTACCCTTGAACGTGAAGGGGTATCGAACCTTTGTATGTCAAGCCTTTTGGCATGACATGAGGGCCTGGTTTTTGGGGACTCCTTATATTTTAGAAACAGATATAGGTGCTCATATTTAAAAACTTGGCAATATATATTTGTTCAAACACCATTATGGTCGGTGATTTTTCACTAATTTATTCCAAGAATTATATTATGATTTTATTGTTGGGTTGAAATCTTTATAATTTGATAATAATATTTACTCAATATAATCTATCTAAAGTAATTTTCTTTCCAAAATTGAGGAGAGATCAAGTGAAATCATTAAATCTAATTAAGAAATGATCCCCAGCACAAAAAAAATCATACCAATATTAGTTATACTATTACTGAGTTTGAGCATGTTTGAATGAATGCCTTAGTACTGACAAGTAGCAAGCTTTTAAAAGTCCCAAAACTAATAGAGAACATGTGGGGTTTGAGAATAGCATCCCCTAAAAGAACTAAAAACCATACATTTTCTCTTATTTTACAATTTTGTTATGCAAGTTAATCAGTCAATATTTGCGCAAACATTCTAAAACTCAATTAGTTTGAGCATTTTATGTGATGGGGTTTGAATTTGTTTAGATAAATGTTTCTACATTTGTTACCAGTCCTTTCCTTAATTCTGGAAAGACAAATTCTGTTCTAGCACTATTTGGACCATTTTCCTGATTACTTTTCATGCATATATTTTTATATCCTGACGTTGTCTCAAAAGGTTTGTTACTATTTGTTTTAGGTTCTGAAGAAGATTACCAGGAAGGATTGGGAGATCCGATCAGATCGTGGAAACAACGGCAAAATGAAGCATTCTGTGCACATGATTGTAACACCTAAAGTACTTGATGAGGTGAAAAGACATTTCAACTGCTCTACTCTAGAAGGAGCTGAACTAGAAAACCAAGGTGGCCCAGGAACAGAGATGGCACACTGGGAAAAGAGGTTGTTTGAAAATGAAGGCATGACTGGTGCTTTTACCCAAAACTCTGTCTTCTCAAGAATTACCCTAGCACTCATGGAGGACACTGGATGGTATGAAGCAGACTACAGCAAAGCTGAGCTACTCAGATGGGGGCAAAACCTTGGCTGTAAGTTTGTGAAAAATAGTTGTAAGGCATGGATGACAGCTCAGAGTACTTCAAATAATAGTATAAAGCCATTTTGTCAGAGACTTAAGTCACAAAAGCAAGGTCTTCACACGAGTTGCTCGGTTGACAAGACATCTGTTGCCATGTGTAACTTGGTCATGTATAATCAACCACTTCCCTTAGAATACCAATACTTTGAGTCTAGCATATTTGCCGATGCAGAGAGATATGGTGGTTCTGTTGACTATGCCGATTTTTGTCCATACTTCCAAGCTTTCACCTGGACGAGCCAAGGAGTTGCAGTACGTGGTTCGTCATGCATACAACCATCTAACGAAAAACCAAAAGATAAAAATTATGCTCTGGAAAAATATTCTTCATCTGAATCACGATGCTTCGTCCAAGGTAAACCATGGACTAAGACAAAATGTAGCCGTCAGTGGATAACTGTTGATTGGGGTAGTGGGTGCTATAATTATCAATGTGAAAATGATGGGCTCAAGGTTATTGTCGAGGGTTATAAGTACACATGTTTCCACAAAGGACAGGTTTTATATATCCAAATGCAAAGTTATGATAATTGGATTCATCAAGGGACCATAATCTGTCCTGCCTGTAAGGACATGTGTTATGATGCCCCTGGAACTTGTCCAGCTGAAGTTTTCGACCCCCCCAAAGATTCACAGCCTAAACCTATCCTCAGATCATATCCTTGCTCAGGAAACACGTTTGGCTTATCTAGTGCTTTATTTAGTATTTTAGCAATTTTTGTTATCTTTTTGATATAATATTAATACTATCCACATTTTTATTATTTGAATGATGACTGGCAGTTGATTGCCTCTCAGTTGAGTTTGGTATCTCCAATACTTTTGCTGCACAGATTGAATGTACATTTCCATCAAAGGCAACCACCACGACTATCCAGGAGACTTAGCCAATTATAGCCAAAACTTTCTCGCAGACAATAGACTCATAGACTTAGCCAATTATAGCCAAAACTTTCTCGCAGACAATAGACTCATTGCATGTGACCTCAAAGCAGCTCAATTTGGAGGACAAAACATAATAATTTTATTCTCCTGATCTCCTGAGAATTGAAAACCTATTGTTTTGCCCTCAGAACTCAGCTGCATTTCGTGCTGCAAAGGGTTCATTGGGGTTGTTGCCAGAAAGTTAGGAAATACACATCAAATGTTGCAACAAAAATTCTAGCATTTGAAACTCAATTAAGAGGTGTAAAATCAAGTTCATATTGAACTGTCTTGCCTATATTTGTTTTTTGACATTAATATTTTGTACTTTTAGATTGTCATCAGTATGTACAGGCTAATATTTCTTACATCAAAACAATGTCTTTCCAAAAGAACCTTTTGTTCAGTCAAAGTTTGAAAATCGTATGACTTGTGGTACGGTAGTTAATAGTTGCATCGAAAGCTGCATTTTTTTTGCACTTGCATAGTCGTGAATGTGGAAAAATCTTAGTGTGTAGGGTATACATATGTAGTGATACACAACCTTATTTTCAATAGCTTCTAGATGAATATATATGGTCATATTATATACAAGTGTTTTCAGAAATGTATATAATAAGAATGTATATACATGTAGATATTTGCATACTGTACATGCTATAATAAGCCTTTTCATTCAAAGGCTTATTGTCATAATTTTACACGAGAATCTAAATATGTAACCATAAGTGGTAATCAATATCCTCATACATATAATTCTTACCCTGCTAGAAGAGCTTTCTTTATCTGCTCAAGGACAGAGAGAAACACTCCTCAGTAGCCTGGAGAAGTAAAAGGATAGGCTTTAATAGCAGGTTAATACGCAGGTAGCTGTGGAAAAAAATTCTTAAAACTGGCTAAATTAAAAAAATAACCACAAAGAGCAAAAAAAGTGCTATTTTCCTAATGATCAGGTAAAATTTCAAGGCTTTATTTCACGTTTCAATGATTTTATTGAAATTTTTGAAGAATCCACATACATTTCCTTATAACATGACACTACAGAAACCAAGCTTGGGCTACCTGTGGTTAATATTTCTCAGTGCAAATCCTTGGCTCAAAACAGCTATAGCTCTGTATAATCTCAAATATTAAATACCTTATTTTAATGATCAATCCATTCAGCATACATCTCATTCATACACATTTTTAACTAATCTAATATTTACAGTAAATGATTAATATTTATAAATGAAATCTCAAAAAAAAAAAAAAATTCTCGACCATAAAAAGGGTGAAAATTGAAAACGTGGTATAAATATTTTAGGATAAGTAATAAGACTGAAAGTAGTTATATTTGATATTTATTATTAAGTATTAGCGATTTAAGGTTTTTGCTAATGAATAGTATAATATTTTTTAGAATAAGTTTAATATTAGTGCTAAATTAGTTATCGCTGACTTATTAGATGTTATATTTAGATGAATGCATACTTTATTATTAAGTCAATGTTTGGACATTTCTGGTTCTAATCTTTTTGTATGATTTACATTTTTAATGAAGTATTTATAGTAACTTTTGAATATTTCTTCACTTGTAGTTAGCTCAGTCTGGGGAGAGGGGGTCATAAAGTTTTTGTGTCAGCCAAGAAGGGAGGGTCAGAAGAATTTGGACAGGCACTTCAAGAGAATTGTTTATATTTATAATAATAATAATAATAACTTTATTACAGTCTCTATTTCTTCTAGCCGGGCACAAGTGCCCTACTAATCGGGGAGACTAATGGATTGAGATTTATAAATAATGAAGTTGGTTTTTGCAGATGGAGGAAAACTGAAGATAGGAAAACCCTTGAATAGGGCGTTTGCAGGATGCCATCATTGACCTCTACTACCAAACTCCCTTGCAGACTTTCTTTTGTTCAGTTAATTAGTACCAATTTTCTTACTATCCTGACTATTCTCATGAAGGAATACAAATTTAAATAAAGAAAATTTGCAAAGCATCTTGGTAGTGGGAGTCAAATGACGCCATCATGCAAACATCCTATTGCAAAGAGAATGAACTAGAAAGTCTACTCACACGTTATAACTGTGATGGCAGGTTGCATAAATATAATGTTCATCACAGGAATGGAGGGTGGTCTAGCAGTATTGCACATGCCTTTTATCTCTGGGGTCTTGGATTCAAGTACTTGACATGGGATCATGTTTGAGTAGAGTTTGTTAGGTCTAACCTTACTAATAAGCCAATTGTTTTCCTCCCTCCACAAAACCTAACAAAGCTAAATTCCATTCAATCTGTGAGTTAGCAGTATTTTCATCAGTCCAGAGGTTGTTTGAGGGTTCCATTTGCGAGTTGGCAGTGCCCTGACTTAGATCAGCCCAGAGGTTGTTTCAGGGTTCCATCTGTAAGTTAGCCGTGCCCTGACTTAGATTAGCCCAGAGATTGTTTCAGGGTATCAATAACATTTAAAAAACAATTGTGTGCATTATTGAAGTAAACTGTTCAAGATTTTGTTCAGGATTTTATGCTAACTTTTTCCTTACATTCAATGCATTTTTACACCTTGGTGGAAAAAACTATTCAAATGATTGTATAAACCATACATGTTCTTTAACAGTTTTCTAAGTATTTGAATAACATTGCAGTATTTTACAACTGAAAATATCTTGAATATTAACATACTTAGTAAAGAAAATAATGATAATACTATATACTTTTCCCTAAGAATTTTGTACCTATTTTGCTGGCATTTATCTGATAAGTTTGCATACATTTTTCACATCCATGGCACAACTGATTAGTCAAAAACCAGAAAAGCTGAGATTGCTGAGGATCATGGGAAACAGTTCAAGCAAAAAAAAAAGCTTTTGATACAATCTGCAGCTTGAGGATGAAACTGTAACTGGTAAAATATCAGTTACCAAGCGGTTGCAACATGTCAAGTGTCAAATATCTACCCATAATCCTTGTAGGTCTTAGCTCTCAATAGACCTATCCCGAATTCGCTTGACTGACCAAGAAACAATGGTTTGAAGTCGAGACTGAACTTGATTCTTTTATTCATCAAGTTCATCCTCGACTTAAAACCATTGTTCCGTGACCAGTCAAGTGAATATTCGGGATAGGTCTATTGTAGCTTTTCAGATGACTAACTTTATTGAAATAAGTATATAATTAGTACTAGATAGATGAGGCAGTAAGCCGTGTGGGATGCATGGGCTCGGATATCAAATAAGAACATGCGTAATAAGTAAATTACGAGCCTTAGATGAAACGACTGAAGAAGAGTGCCATACAAGCCTTTCACAACTTCAAGTCGCGTAAAAAATGAGCCAGCTCAACTAGAAACCGTGGACAGCTGTTTGTTTGACATTGTCGTTTCATCTAAGGCTTGTAATTTACCTATTACGCATGTATATATCTAGTAGTAGTATTAGTAGTAGTATTGATGCAGCATGTTGCAGTCAAATGCACAGGCAGCCCAAATAAGGCCAAAAGTTCTTCGAGTCTATAGGCCATGAGGCCATAGTGTCAACTCTATAATCATGTAAATAATGATAAAAATATATACATATTAAAAATATAGCCTTAAAAATAATAATACTGATGATAATCAATAACAATGATATTATATTACTCTGTAGACTGAGCTTCAAGATAGCTAAATACTGGGGTTAAAATCTTGTATTGTTACAAAGAAATAAACATTCTTGGGTTTAATGCAGTGATATTGACTGATTGGTATTGTTTGCACACTATGCGCGAGCAATGCATTTATTTCTTTGTATTTTTTTTTTTTCTTATTTTTTACAAAAATCCAGGACATGAGCTGCCCAAACCCCGACACGCGCGCCTACCCCGATTTGTGCAGTTTTCGTATGACTGAAAAATTCACGGCACGAACACGGTCGTGACACAGCAAAGAATACGTCAGTCCAATCACATTGCACGAGAATTTACTCTCCATCCAATCAAATACCCGGAACACTGCATAAACACGGCGCGGACACGGCCACGCCAAGATCACGACACTTTTAGGCCAATCATATTGCGCGGCACGGCACGCTTACGGCATTGAGCTTTTCACAGTCATACGAAACCTGCACTATGTTCCCACCCGTCTGCTAAGAAAAAGTGATTTCCGGTTATAAGCCTCCTTTAGTGATGGAGCAGCGCCGTGCAGCCCTGAATACATTCACATTTCAAATCTTTTACAGTTACTTCTGCATGACTGATTCTAATCTTCAATTCAAATGGACACTTTTAATGAACGGATTTCAGACATTTTTTCTAATCTTTTAAGTTCCTCTCCCCCGGTTCATGATAATCCCACCCCAAAAAGAAACATTGCGAAGATTGATCTGAAATGGGAAAAATGGCACGGTGAATATGGCAGACCTTATCTTATTGGTCGAAAAGCCGTAGTTTTTGATTTACACTATTTTTAGAGTTCCCTGTGCCCACAAAAACTGCTAAAATAAAGTGAAAAATGTTCTCAATGATATAACATCCACCTGAAACAATTAGAACTTTGGACAACAAATCCTGTCACCAAGAAATTAAAAGTAAGAAAAAATCTTTACAGAACTGCTTTTAATTTCGTTTTGGACCTGCAAGTCGTTTTACATACGATTGGCGTCACTAAAAAGCTCTATCGAAGTTCTCTTTAGACTAATTAAAAAATGACGTGACTAATGCTAATCAAATGACGTCATCAAGCAATCAACCAATTATCAGTTTCTGAGTTTCACACACTGAGGAACATTCATTGCTAATTTGCGAAAATTAATTTAGTTTGAACAGCTCACCATGCAATTTTGGAGTTCTGTTTACAGAAGTTTCAGTTCTTTGGTCATGACATTCTTTGTCGCTATGACGTAGTAAGTTGCATCAACCAATCATCAAGCTCTTAAATATTTTTTCAAACAGTTGTTTCAATGAGAAGCGCTTGATTACTTACACTTCAAACATCTTGTTCTTGATTTGTTGATCTCAGGTATGTCATGAATATCTTTAAACGAAGACAAGACAACAGACGGAAGAAGCCCCGCCCCGAGGGACGAGTGGCAAACTTCTGGCATGGTGTAGTGAGTCTTGTCTTCTATTGCATCTTGAACGATGTTGGTGCTGGCGACGATGGTAAGTCTAAACACGGTTCAAAATCCTAAATCCCTTCTCTCGAAACTCACAAGCTTGAAATGCTCAACATCAGAAATTACGCAATAATATATCAAATTGATTTTTTTTGCTAGATATGTGGAAGTTTCCTTAAATACTGTGATAAAATGACATCATCAATGCTGCTATTCGAAAGAACGATAGAACAAATCATTAACGCGCGCCTTTATATTAGAACATCTGACCTATTCTAAAGAACACCAAGCTCGCACCATTCGCCAGTCATCGATATATTCCTCAAAACTTTTCTTTTATACCATTTTTTGCAGCAGAATTAGAAGTCGTCAACGAACCATCTGGACGCACCAACTCTGCTATCGGCAACGGCACTAAACCTTTGACTATAGATACTCTGGTTGATCATAGAAGAACCAATCACGAACCTGCTTTTCCTTGCCTGACCTCTCAGTCCTCATCCAATACACACTCATCGAGTGTTGGCAGATTGCAGGAGGGCAAGGTTGATGGAAAAACAATCAAATCAACTGAGAAGAAGCTTAAGAAGAAGAATTGGTTTTCGTGGTTCAATAAAGGAAGCAAAAAGAACAAGGTAACAGAAGAACCAGAGAAGAAGAATGACGATGAATCAGCTAAATCAGCCGATAAAAATGCAAAGGAACAAGCCAGGTTATCAGAGTCGAGCTTCAAAATTCTCCAGCTGACAGCCTCTCCTGGTGGGGCAAGGAAGGCTTACACTAGCAGACTCTACTCTGTGCGCAAGGCTGGCGAGACCCATGAAGCGGTTTGTCCAAGTATTGATAACACTATGCTAAATGTGGACTTAGAGAAGCCACTGGGCGGTGACAACAATCATGAGGTAAGAAATTTTAAAGATATCAGTAATGACACTACAGAAAAACGTTTGCGCATACGTGTATTTCTGGCACGCTTTCTAAGAATTTTGAAGAGTTCGAGTGAGAAAATAAATGTTTGTTTTCTCCAAGTATACAAAAAATTTCGCGAGTATACTTTTGTCAGACCCCGATACTGTATTAACAAACACAATATGAAAGAATTAGCCTTAAGTTTCAAGCATGGACTAAGTTTTGGCGTTTTGTGAAGCCCAATTTATCAGGCATGTTTGAAAGTCAAATTGACATATGATTTGACTAATTTGCATAACGATTCAGAGCATGCGCAGACGTTTTTCACTCGTGTCATAAGCAATAGTTTTTTTTGCTATATTCCATGTATCCATCGATATGATGATTTCTCAAAACAAAATGGTTTTTTACAGACATTTTCTCTCTCTGACGTCAGTTCTTTTGGAGCAAGCGAGATGTCTATTTTGGTAAGTATTTTTAATAGTGGCTAAATAATGTATTTAGGAATAATCAATAAAGATAACTAAAATTAATTAATAAATTAACTTTATTTATGGAGGATAACACTTGACAGAACTTGACGACTGATAAATTCGTGGTTCTCTTTTAACGTCTCTAGTTAATTAGGGACGGCACCGCCATTAATATGGTTATCCCCGCCACGTAAAGGTCTTACAATTTGCAGATGTAACACGAAGGTAGCACCTTCTCCTCAGTTTTTTGAGGACCCTGAGTGTTGGTTTGGCCGAATCACGACAGACCGACGCTCTTACCAACTGAGCTAACCGGGAGGCGGTTCGGAGGAATGTGAAAATAATGCTGATAGTTAGTTTGTCTTCTAATCGGCAATTTTTCACTGTTTTCAATTTTTTCATTCCCAGTCTTCTTCGTTTACCGAAGTAACCTCTCTGAGTTCAGGTGCAATATCTGATTGTTGGGGACTAAGTGATGGTCAGCTTCCACCATCCATGTCCTCTTCAATCACAGACTCGTTCACCGATGATGGACGGGACCACATCCAAGTATCCAAGACTCCTGCGGTTGAGGGAACCATGTCTGCCAGTAGTGACAGTTCTGTCGGAACACATGGCTTGGAGAACAAGGAAATCCCAGCGACCTGCTCGTCTGGTAGTGCTACCACTTTTGGAGACATTGATACCTCAAACAGTACTCACATCGAAATACTAGGTGATGCTCCAAATGCTGCAGTAGATAAACAGGCACCCTCTTCTTTTGATGATGCTGACACTTCTGGAGACATTGATACCTCATCAGATAGTACTCACACCAAAGCACTAGGTGATGCCTTAAATACTGCAGCAGATAATGAGGCACCCTCTTCTGATGATGCTGACATCCCTGGAGACGTCGATACCTCAGATAGTACTCACATCGAAGTACCAGGTGATGCCTTAAATACTGCAGCAGATAATGAGGCACCCTCTTCTGATGATGCTGACATCCCTGGAGACGTTGATACCTCAGCTCCAATTGCTGATAAAGAGGCACTCTCTTCTTCTGATGATGTTGCCACTTCTGGAGACAATGATACCTTACACATTACTGACATTATAGTACCCAGTGACGCCCCAAATGCTGTCGAGGCTTCGGATAGTACTGATAGATTCAGTGAAGTACCAGGTGGGACGATCACCGACGTCTATTCTTTGATCAGACGGACGTTAAACTTTGCTTTACCCAAGCCTAATGATCCTGTTCAAAGGGATGCATGTGATCCGCACAATGGGAACGAGTTAGTAGAGCACCATCATAGGACATCATCAACGGCTGATCGTAATGACACTGAAATCCAATGTAGTGATATAAAAGAAGACGAGCAAACTAATGAAGTTCCAGAACACACCACACCCAGCTTACACAAACTGCACACCGAGTGGTCTCAACATCACGTCAACATTGAGGTGCTTCTTGGGTTAAAAGCATCCAAGAATTCCTTTGAGGCCCTCGAGGTTCAGAAATTTATGGACGAAGAAGCCTCGGCCTCTAGCGACTCGTCTGTGAAAACTGGTGTCGTCTCAACTCCAACAGTGAAAGATCATTTATGTGGTTCGATTGAGGCAGAATCAGAGATGGCTGTTGATTCTGGGGTCGTTTCAAGTAGAGACTACATGTCTTAGAACCTTAACGCAAGTTTTATATAATCCTAAAAAATTGGCGAATACTCTTTCTTAATCCTTTGACATAGATTAAAAAAATCTAATTATCTGACTTTTTTTTATAACAAAGCAAATTATGCACTATCTGGTACATATAAAGTAGTGTGTGAGAGTTGCTTGTGTCAGTAAATGAGAGTTTATACATGTACAGGTGTGTAACTTTTCAAAACAATAAAATAATAGAGTGACCAATTTTAGTATAATTTTTGACCCCGTCCATACTAATGCGTTTTCGTTTGAAAACGCAGACATTTCGATGCGTTTTGGCCTCAGTTCCCTCCACACTAAAACGCTCGAAAACGATGAGCGTATTCATCGAAAAACGCATCGATTTGAAAACGCCGTCCAAATTGGTACCAAATGAAAACGGATACACATCGTTTTGGTGGACGGTCGAAAACGGAGCCTTTTGAAAATGATGACGTCAATAGCAGCTCATCGCTCATCGCGGATGAACACATTTTTATGTTGTTGACTTGTTTAATCGCTTGTTTGAAACTAAATATTGCTTTGTTCAATCTGTTGGCAACAAATAGAAGAAGAACATCTATTCTAAGGGCACTAGTATTTTCGAATACTTCACAACGTAAGACTCGGGCAACTAAGCCGTATCAAAGCCGAGAAGATTTTGGATTCGACCACTGAGGTCGAACAAGCGCGCGCGTGGTGGGACAAACACCGCGGGCGCTGTTCAACCGGGCAAGCGCGGATTGATGCATCACGTCACAAAGGGACATGTATGCGTTTTCGAGCGTTTTAGTGTGGACAGTCGAAAACGATATGAAAACGCTAGTGTAGACGCAAAGCAATCGATGCGTTTTCGGCAAGACAAAAACGGAGCCTTTCGAAAACGCATTAGTGAGGACGGGGTCTTAGAATTGAATATAGAGTTTCTCGAGCTGTGATTGGTCGAGCGACCAGTGATTCTGAGACGATGCTGGAGCGGTGATTATGAAGTTTTGCAAAGTTTTCTGAAGTAATACTAAAACGTTTTTTCAACCTGAATTTCGACTTTTCTCTGATATTCAAGTCTAAAATTATACTAAAACATTTATTCCCCTCAGACTCAGAGATTATGGTGAATCATCATGGTGAATATTCCATTTAAATAATTAAACATGCCATTGGTTGTACATGCTGGTTTTTTGCGAGGTTGGGAGGGAGCATGAAAGTAAGAAGAAGGGAGGAGACTGCATGGGGTACAAGATAGCTGAAAGGCAGATACTCGGCAAAGAATTGAGGAAAGGAAGGAAGAAATGGGTCGAGAGGAGAAAGGAAGGGAAGAAAGATGATTCAGGTTATCAAGCGCACGTAAACGTTTTATGTCGCTGGATCACAACAGTCATATAGGGATTTAAGCACGCACACACACACACACACACACACACAAAAAACCCAACAATAAAAAACATTACTCACACACACATAGAAGCATACTGATCCCAATAATGAGCTTTTTATTTCCACTTCGGCATTTTCTATGATAAATGCAAAACCCACGTTCATTGATAAGAGTAGTGAATATATGGCAGGACAACAGTTATCCTGTAAATGACGATGGTTAGCCTGGTTAGCGGTAGCTTCCTATCCCGACTACGTATGTTAGCTATGTTTGACTATAGATACCAAGGTGCGATCGATCGGCTTTAATGAGACCATTCAAGGGCGCTTCCTAGAGGACTCCCTTTACACTTAATAGCTGGGCTCCCCACATTGCTTCCCCAAGGGAACGACCACGATCCAGATCCACCGAAGCATCCCATGGAATACCAGCCCCATGAAGAGCAGCTGCTTCCCGTACCACAAGCCAGGGCTTTACAGCAAACCATGGTGTCACCCTTTACAGATACTGAGTACTTCACACGCGTGCTGGAGCTTCCAAATATTGCCGTACTGGACCAACATGTACCACCGTAGACGAGTGGAGGGGCATAGCAAGATCCACGGAAGCCGAAAGATACTCCGACCAAAGAAAAGACGACGGCGAGATACAGTAGAGACATCTAGAGGAAAAACACGAGGGATTCACGATCATAGTTGGGAAGCACGGGTGGCGTAGGGGTGAGAGCGCTCGCCTCCCACCAATAATGCGACCCGGGTTCCAGTCCCGCTGAGCTCGGTGTCGTATGTGAGTAGAGTTGTTTGTTGGTTCTCTCCTGTCCTTCGAGGGTTTTCCGGGTTCCCCGGTTTTCCTCCCCTGGAATTACAGTGGATGAATAGCTACTCTGTAGAAATGCCACTGCTAAATCCCATTTATTTATTTTATTTATTATATAATTACCAATGAAATATCTATTTTTCTCTATTTCGAAAAATTGATATCTTCACACGTGAAAATAACATGTTATTTTCACGTGTGAAAATAACACCATAGCGATGGCTATTCAAAAATACAAGGAAAGAATTGCCTGAAAAAGCCAAAACATACTTCATTGATAATTATATAATAAACAGAATATTACATGGGCGCTTGGAGATACGAAATTTATCTTCTCGTGTTGAAAATCTCTCACTCGTTCGCTGCGCTCACTTGTGAGAGATCTTTTCAACACTCGAAGATAAATTTTGTATCTCCGCGCGCCCATGTAATATCCTCTATTTATTTTTTTAGATTGAATTGGAATTTAGCGTTTTTTGTTTGCAGAGGGAGGACAACCGTAGAAACTGGAGAAAAACCCTCGAATCAGTAAAAGGAGAAATCCAACAAACTCAATTTACATGGGATGCTGAGTCAAGGAATCGAACATGAGCTACAACCCGGCGCGGTGAGAAGCGAGAGATATAGTTTTGACAATTAGCATCACGATTAACAATGGAAAACATGGTTTATGTTTTAAAAAACACGCACACACACAATGAGAGAGAAATCCAAGGCAATGATAAGCTAAGTATGTATTAATCAAGAAGGAAAAAGCTATCGAAATCTATTGACCTCCTTAGCCACGGAGAAGAAAAACAACTTTAACCAGCAAATTACATTTCCATCGTCTTACTTACCCTTGTTCGTGTTTTTGTTCACCGGGAATTTTTCCGAGATGAATATAACCTTCGACTAGTATAAACCGCAAGATATGAAGCAGTTACATTCGTGCTAAAGCTGTTTATAAGAATCGTAGTGAAATGGGCGTGGAAAGTGTTCTCTTTAAAGCTGAATGACATGTTCTTTCAAATATCATTCTGTACGTAAATATTGCTTGTCAGGTGTTTGGTTGTTGCAAAGTAGAGCTGTCTTGTGAATGTTGAAAAGGCTACAGCTTAGTAAACAAACCGTACACTCGCGTAAAAACACACAGTGTAAAAGACAGAAGAGCTTGATAATGGTAGTGTATAGAGGGATATTTCACGATACACACAGCTGTAAGGGGATTGTTCTCTTCGGCTATTCTACTCCCTTGGTCTTGTTTGGTTACTCGGAAGAAGATATTACAAAATAACCTCACCTAATGAAAATAAAACAACGGTTAAAGACATGAGAAAAGAAACCGTTGGCTGCTCGACAGAGGTGGAAAAAAATTAATTAAACTTAACGAAGTCACTGCACGTTACCTATATTTGAATAAACACTTGAAGCCTCGAACGTCATTGACAAAACCTTGCAAGTCAACATCATAGGACACGCGGCCAGCTCAAAATTTCGCAACTCTTTACGACGGCACATAATACTACCAGATTCCCTTGCAATTCAGTCTATTAGCACCAATCGTTCTTCTGTTCTAGAGAATAAATATTTTTTTAGAAAGGAAAAAAAAAAAAAAGCGCATTAAAGCTTAAAACTGAATTTTTAAGAATGGAAAGCGAGGCTTGAAGGGTGGAGAATTGAAAATGAGGGCCGAAAATAATGTGACCCTCCCTAGCAATAGGAATAAAATTCCCTGACCCTCCCCTTGGGGCTTGGCCAAAAAAATATCATGGATATCCCCCGAGACATACAGACATACTAAATAAAACTGAAATAAGACCTGTCCTTGAACATCATCATATATTTCCAGAAACCCTAAATATTTATAAACCCAGGAAATAATATATGAGTGTATGAAAAAGCATCTTTCTTTGATATCAAGCAACATCTGCCTTTAACCATGGCCATGAATGAGAATGGTGATAATATTCTACTCGATCCCTTAACTAAAAATGTGTGTGTTGTGGGGAGGGTAGACCTCACCCTTAACTAATAATGTGTGTGTTGTGGGGTGGGTAGACCTGATCCTTAACTAAAAATGTGTGTGTTTTGGGGAGGG